CAAAATACGAGTCTTTAGAGGTATGCGAATTTGGAATCGGATTATATTTGGAAAAGTTATGGACTCCACATGACCAATATTGGGCCACCTTTTTACAAGACATCGGAAACTTGGAATTATCAACATGAAAATGGGTCAAAAATTTGATCAACGTTAAAATGAAAATTTTGAATGCAGATTTTTAGAGAATCAAAATATGAGTCTTTAGAGGTATGCCAATTTGGAATCGGATTATATTTGGAAATTTTGGACTCCACATGACCAATATTGGGCCACCTTTTTACAAGACATCGGAAACTTGGAATTATCAACATGAAAATGGGTCAAAAATTTGATCAACGTTAAAATGAAAATTTTGAATGCAGATTTTTAAAAAATCAAAATACGAGTCTTTAGAGGTATGCGAATTTGGAATCGGATTATATTTGGAAAAGTTATGGACTCCACATGACCAATATTGGGCCACCTTTTTACAAGACATCGGAAACTTGGAATTATCAACATGAAAAAGGTCAAAAGTTTGATCAACGTTAAAATGAAAATTTTGAATGCAGATTTTTAGAGAATCAAAATTTGAGTTTTTAGAGATAAGCCACTTTGCAATCGGAAAAAATTTGGAAAAGTTAAAGACTCCACAAGTCCAATGGTGGGTCATCTTTTTAAAAGACATCGGAAACTTGAAAATAACTAACATAAAAATGGGTCAAAAAAGGTTTCATCGTCAAAATGAAAAATTTGAATACAGATTTTTTAAGAATCGAACCACAAGTCTTTAGAAGTATTTTGATATCGGCTTAAATTTAGTAAAGTTATGGACTCTAGAAATCCAATTTTGGATCACCTTTAAAGTAGTCATATGAATCAAATTTTTGAATCCATATTTTCTAAAAGATTTCTAATATTTTTGACCAGTGTCCTGGCAACACAAGCGGCAACAGTCGCTTCCTCTTCGTGGCTTGGTGGCTGCCGGAACCGGAAACGGAAGTGGATGCGTGGGCGTTCGGGTCCAGTGCAGCAAATGCAACTGTTGCAAGCGCAAAATGCAACTGCAGGTGCAACAGATGCAGTGACCTTTGCAGCATGGGTGTGCGGGAGTGGGCAAGAGTGGTTTTAAGTGCAAAACGCATCATGTGGTTAATGCACTTTAATTGCCGCCGGCCATCCCAAACTATCCTGGTTGCAATGGTGGCCCCTGCAACACTGGAACCACAGCCACCCACTGCAGCATCACCACCTGCCCCGTGCGCACCATTTAACTTGATTAAAGTTCGCATTTGGATAACTTTGAGGCACTTCTAAGCTGTAACAAAGGCGGAGCGCAGCACTAAAACGTAATATCCACCAGTAAAATCAACTGGAAAACCCCGGCCAGCCACTAAATCTACGACACACAAAGGAAATGTTACGGCTCAGCCTCTCTCGCTCACTCGCCATCGCACCATCTCGCTCTCTTCCGACAATTCCCCAACGTGCAATGAAAGCGTTAATAAATTTCATGAGTCCTCGCATAAAAACTTCCGCCCACCTTCGCCGGCGACCCGCTTTTCTCGCTTTGAAATGCAAATTTCGGATCCTGCGCTTTGTCGTCCCCCTCCCTCGTGAAAAATGTAAATCACATTCACAATCAGATTAAATCTCAATAAGCATTGGACTAAAATTCAAATGCCATTTTGCCATTAGACCGCACAAATATTGCCACAGAAATCAAGGCCCCTCTACAAAAGTTACCCGCAGCGTTGGTCCCTCTCACAATTTTCCTCCGACTTTTCCACACACATATGGCGCAGCGGGAGAGTTTTCCCCCTCTCTGCCCCTTTTTGTTGTTGCTAGTATTTATTTAAAAACATGGCACCAAATGCGGAGCAACACGAAAATGTTGCATTGAATTAACATTTAGAGAACACAAAAAAAGTGCCGTGTTCAGCAAACAACAAGAACTGAGCTACATGTTACACATTTTTAATGTTCTCTGATGGCGCTTCGAAAAAAATAATAATGCAAACTAAAAATAAATGAATGCAAATATTTAACAATGGAATAAAGTGTTGGCAGGAGAAAGTTTTCCCCGGGAAATTTGCATAAAAAACTTATTACGCATTCACCTTTGGGGGTAAAATTTACAACTATCACCGTAGAGAGCTCTTTAAAACAGCTTAAGAGTGGGGCAAAAAACACATATTTAAATGAAGCACATATCAAGTGATTGGGTATAAACTTATTAAGTGATGCGTGAATCAAAATGTTTAAAAATATATACCTGAATCACAAAAGCTGCTTCAGTCAATTACAGATATTTGTACTATGTCTGCATTTTATCAAACAAATTTATATTTCTTAAGCAAAATATTAGCCTAAATTAGTTTCTAAAAATCAAAGCTGTAGCCTCGACTTTTTCTCAAATAATTGTTGATTTCATTTGTATGTATTTTAATAACAAAATAAATTAAATAGAGTTCTCTTAAAAATAGTTGCAGCTTTATTGATTTTCTTTTGTTGACCTCTATTGTTTATTTATCTTTGAGTATAAATCAAATGTTTGTTAGTTTTAATTCCAATTTGACCTTGAAAAGTGGATTAGGCCAATTCAAGTTTATTTTTTCTTGTTGATGATGTCTTTCAATACATTTTCAAAATAATATTTGTGGCTGTTATTATATGCATTACAATATTTTATTTCTTTATCACAACCTGAATTTAATCTACAATTTTTAAAGAGCCTTGAATCTTTATTTAATGTTTAAATATCTGATGAATTTATTTAAAATAAATATCCCACCTTGAAGAGCCCCCACCATCTGCTGGTTTTTCTGTCCAATGCTCTTTTTCCGGATGCACTCTTAAAATTAAAACTGCCATTGTGCGTGACTGTCTAGACCCCGCATTTATTTGCCAGTCGAGCTGCAGTAAACAAAAGAGATGACAGCGGCATTCAGCCTTTGCCTTTGCATTAACAACAACGGCGGCAAACAATGCGCAACAATATCCATCCTTACCAGTCTGTCGTGCACTGTACGCAGTCATTCCATTTTTAATGACGCCAGTCAACAAACGGAGGTGGAGGCCCACCATCCACCATTCCGTTCTCGTATTTAAAGCGACACTCGAGCCGCTTCCCTCATAACTCGCATAAATCATTGCTCTTTTCGGGCCTGTGTAATGAAAGTGCTTAACAGCTACTCGAGATCTGAACAGGGCCAGAAGCTGGGACTGAAGCTGAAGCAGAAACAGAAGCCGCAGTGTAAAGCCACTTCAAGCGCATTACATGACTTGCCACTCCACGGACTCGGATCCGGAGGAACAAGAGTCAATCCGCAGAAGGAGTGGGAGCCATCATCCAGCCGAAATGATATGACACCGGCAGCGACATCCCAATCTGATTCGAGGGAGAACAGGAACCATGACTTGTGGCTTACCTTGGTGACTGTCAGGACAAATAAAACGACTGCCCACATTCAAATTAGCACTTGTCGCCCGTTAAATCTTTCTCCCGGGAAGTTCCACTGGAGCAGATGCGCCTGGCAGCCAGGCCACTTGAAAAAATCGCTCTGAACTCTTGGGTGTTCTTTATAAATTTAAGGCATTTAAAGCATAATCCAAAAAAAAATTAATTTTTTGCTGCCTGCTTTTAATTTTATTGGATATCAAGCATGATTGATTGACTTGCATTCATTAATTTAAAATTCTATTAAGTCTTTTATATCATTAAAAAATGTAGAAAGACAAAAATGGTGTTTTGATAAGAAACAATCGTGATAACTTTGTTTTTAATATTTTTAGATGTTGTTAAGTTGTTGAGCTTTTTTTAAGATTGATTGCTTTTTCCGGGAAAAATGTTTTTGAATCGCAGACAGTCATTCATAATTATTTCAGCGATTTTTATTGTGAAACTAATTAACTATTATTAGCTTTAAATTTTCTCAGAGGGATGTTTTCTATTCAAAGCTTTTAATTCGATATGTTGTCTTTCATTCGATTATATAATCAAGGTAAATGAATCCAATGTCTATGTTTTCAGTGCAGAACCACCAAAAGTTGGCTGAGCCACCGACCTGCCTGCACTTTATGCTTTTGATAAATCGTTCGAGTTGCGACGAAGGTGTTTTTGAACAATGTCTCAGCTTATAAATCTTGTTTGGTCTATCGCAAGACGTATGTGGAGCCGGGGATTTCCTTTTTTCCCCTGGGCGATGTGTGTTTTTGATAAATACACGGCTGAATCTTTTTTAATACTTTTCTCGAAAGATTCTCGGCATAAAAAATGAGGCTACTTACAGGTATGCACGACTCGAGTGCGTGTATCGCTAATTAGATGATAGTATATTTGTTGGCCCAACGGCTGTTTATTTTTTTTAATTGTCGACAGTGTTAGATCGATACACAAATGCGGTTTGCGCAGCCAGTTGATAACTGAATTCATGGAAATTGGGTTTTTACTTTCAATGACCTTAGCCACAAACAAATTTAGTTATCAGCCTTGGCTCTATCAGTTCTGGGAACTGGTATGGAGTTCTGAGAATGGGCAAACGTGAGCCAGCTGAATTATGTACTTGTAATCGGTAGATTAAAATCTGTTCTTGAGTGGCTCTTTCAGGTGATCGCGTAAATCACTGGCTCCACAGGGAGCTGCCAGATTGTCGAACGCCATGATTAAGTAAAACCGAAATAAAGTCTTATATCATAAACGGTTCAGATAAGACCTTGCCCAGATTGTCAGACATTCAGACCCCAGAACAGGGTGCGCTCACTTATCAGACGACATGGAATTTAATTGGAGTGCCTTTTAACCTGGCAACCAGCTATCTTAGCCTCTTTGGATATGAGTCTTAGCCCGGCAGGAAGACAATTAGATGAACATTTGCCATGTCTTCTTGTTTGCTTTTATCTAATCGCAGTGCATTGCCAATTACTGGTTAATTTTAGGCACTGTTCGATCTTCTAACGCGGAGGCTGAAGTATAAAAGGCCCTGTAGTCCCACAGAATCACTACTTTGAAAGTATTTGAAGATTCGAAGATGCAGCTATTCACTCAAGTTATTCTGTTGGCCGTGGCCCTCATCAGTGTGAGTGTTTTCAAATTGATTTTATTACAACATTAGATTTACCAAGAAAAACGTCTAAAATACCCAAATGTCATAACGTTTACATTTTTAACTTCTTAGAAAGGACAAGTGCTTTTTATCAAAACAATTTTTCTGGCTCGTGTCAACTGCTATCAAATTGTTTATTTTTCTCACACAAATATATTTATTGTATAACACTTAGACCGCAGGGGTATCTTTTTTCACAAAAATAAACTTACAATGAGAGATAGGAAAGTAATCTAAAAATGCAAGTAAACAAGTTGGTTTTGCTTACAATGTCTATATTAAATTCGAATACGAATATATATAATTAATTCAGAACTTTCGTATGGATTGCCATAAATGGTGTTGAACATTCCAGGTCAGCGCCGTGCCGCCTTTTGGACAGGATGTGGGTCTGGAGCAGGTCCTTTTCCGCATGGTCTTGGGGGAATCTGAGGCCCGTGGCCTGACTCCGGCTGCCCAGACCTGTGCCAACAACTACCTGAACACCACCCAGAAGAATGCCGAGAAGCTGGCCAATGCCACCGATGCCTGCGAGCAGGTAGCCAATCGCACCAAGGTGGCCTACACCCAAACCAGCAACTCCACCGTGAGCCAAATCCGCCTCCAGCTGTTGACCCTGGAGCAGAACCTGCAACTCTGCCGCAACGAGACGGACGCGACCCTGTTCCTCAACTGCACTGTGTCCACTGTGAGTGTGTTTACTTTTCCGAGGCAAACTGTAGGGTTAATTCACATTTCCCCCCCAGTTCGACAGGAACCTGAATCTGCTGGACACCTCCAACTCGAAGGCTTACCAGGCACAGAGTCAGTTCACCTCGAACTCCACCCAGGTGACTGCCGAGAGGAACAACTGCATCAGCTCCGCCGTTAGCGAGGCCAAGGTGCAGTCCATCCAGACGGCCAACGACTTCGATTCCTGTGTGGCCAAGATCCCCGGCCAGCGGGAGATTCCCCAGCAGAAGGAGCAGCAGCAGCAGCAGCAGGTGAAGCCCGTCCAGGAGCCCAAGGAGCAGATCCCTGCCAAGCAGGAGAAGCCCCAGGAGCAGTTCGAGGATCTGCCTTTGGTCGACTAGAGATTAAAGAACTTTAATCAACAATAAATTGCTAAACTTCATAGAAAACAACTCCCTTTAAATGTTCTTACATTCCGGAATTATTTGTTGATTCTGTTCTTATGGTGAAAGTATCTATCGTTAAATTTTTCAGCAGTGAGACTACAATAAAATATATAGATAAAGCATAGGTCTATCCCGGGACTATTTCTTGATCAATTATTGTTTGGAAAAATTAATTTTTCCTGCAGAAAAAATAAAATTAAATATTTATAAAGTATTAGAATTCTGAACTGTAATTTGTTGTAGATCTTTTATAGTTTGGGAAACCCATAGTTCAATTTTCCAGCAGTAAGAGAATATATATTGCTTTCCAAAAATCCGATAACATACAATATTTCATGCCTTACTGATATCATTGAGTCCCATTAAGCCTAGTATTAATTGTATTATTTTACACAATCAATTTGTTGTTAAAATTTTGTGGGGTTTTACGTCTGATAGCTGAAGCCCAAAAGTTTCCCTTGTTTTGAATTGGCCATCGGGCCCATCGCGCCCATCAAGCCCTCGCCGAACATAAGTCACTGGAGTTTCCCAAGCCCCTCGAATGGTTACTCATCCAGCCGCCAGATTTTCTGCCACTTCACATCCAGTTCCGAATTCGCATGGCTTTTATCATGGTGACGGCACTGCGACCACTCATCGTTATCTCCAGTTCGACTGCTTAAGACTTATCACCTGCCCGCCTCCCCATTTGCTGATTGTGCTGGGCCCTCGAACAATTATAGATAAATTCAATTAATGAAGCCGGAATAAAAATAAAATGTAAAAAATCTAACTCGCGCCGCTTTAAAATGGTCACCTGCCAGCGAAGCCAATTCAGAAGCGACCCGAACCGCCGAAATGGAGGTTCTCTGCAAATTTTTAACAGTGTGCTTGCTGCTTGCCGGCGCTCAGGTGAGAATGCCGAAGCCCAAACCCTTGGAAGGTGGAGGGTGTACTCCAGAAAAGCAGCTTATATAATCCTCAATCCCCACATCCCTCAGGCCTTCACAAGAGCACAACCCGCCAAGGAGCTCTCCTGGCAGTCCCTGTTCTTCGATGCCGTGTCTGGAAACCTGCAGGAGCCCCAGGCTGATGAGCTCGTTAACCTGGAGGAGTGCACTGCCCTCTACACAGTGGACAACATCGAGATTCTGCTGACGGCTGGCTACAAGATTCGTCGTTGCAACAAAGTGGAAGCCAAGGATATCGAGAGATATCTGGAGCGTCAGGATGCCGTCTACACGAAGCACTCCTTTGAAAGGGAGTTGATTGGATGCTCATTCCAGGAATCGGAGCGCAGCACCCGCGATTGCTACGTTGATACCGTAAGTTCATATCTTATATTTAAGCTCCCGCAAAGCTAGAGCTAAACATACTCTCCCGAACAGGTCCTGAATCTGTTCAGCTCGGTGCGTCCCAACCGCTACGATCATCGTCGCCGAAGGGCCTGCATTCTCCGTGAGGTGGAGAAGGCGGCGGTCAAGCTGGACGCAGCCTCCATCGCACTGGCCAACTGCCTTGCCCAGTCGCAGCCGCAGCCACAGCCGCCCCAGAACAGCACCCTGCCCCCTCCGCCCCAGAACACCACCGCCGGCGGACCTGGCTGGAACTCCACCTACTGGCCCAATACGAACACCACCCCCAACTTCACCACACCCAACTTCAACACACCCAACTTCACCACCACCACTGCCATTCCTAACTGGAATTCCACTGAAGGTCCCTGGTGGGGAAACAATTCAACTCAAGGTCCGTGGGGAGGAAACAACTCCACTCAAGGTCCTTGGGGAAACACTACTACTGAGGGTCCTTGGTGGGGCAACAACTCCACTCAAGGTCCATGGGGAGGAAACAACTCCACTCAAGGTCCTTGGGGAGGAAACAACTCGACTCAAGGTCCCTGGTTAAGTACTACCACTCAAGGTCCTTGGTGGGGCAACAACTCGACTCAAGGTCCATGGGGAGGAAACAACTCGACTCAAGGTCCCTGGGGAAACACTACTACTGAGGGTCCTTGGTGGGGCAACAACTCCACTCAAGGTCCATGGGGAGGAAACAACTCCACTCAAGGTCCTTGGGGAGGAAACAACTCGACTCAAGGTCCCTGGGGAAACACTACTACTGAGGGTCCTTGGTGGGGCAACAACTCCACTCAAGGTCCATGGGGAGGAAACAACTCCACTCAAGGTCCTTGGGGAGGAAACAACTCGACTCAAGGTCCCTGGGGAAACACTACTACTGAGGGTCCTTGGTGGGGCAACAACTCCACTCAAGGTCCATGGGGAGGAAACAACTCGACTCAAGGTCCCTGGCTAAGTACTACCACTCAAGGTCCTTGGTGGGGCAACAACTCGACTCAAGGTCCCTGGGGAGGAAACAACTCCACTCAAGGTCCTTGGGGAGGAAACAACTCGACTCAAGGTCCCTGGTTAAGTACTACCACTCAAGGTCCTTGGTGGGGCAACAACTCGACTCAAGGTCCATGGGGAGGAAACAACTCCACTCAAGGTCCTTGGGGAGGAAACAACTCGACTCAAGGTCCCTGGTTAAGTACTACCACTCAAGGTCCTTGGTGGGGCAACAACTCGACTCAAGGTCCATGGGGAGGAAACAACTCCACTCAAGGTCCTTGGGGAGGAAACAACTCGACTCAAGGTCCCTGGTTAAGTACTACCACTCAAGGTCCTTGGTGGGGCAACAACTCCACTCAAGGTCCTTGGGGAGGAAACTCCACCCAGGGTCCATGGGGAGGAAACAACTCGACTCAAGGTCCCTGGGGAAACTCTACTACTGAGGGTCCTTGGTGGGGCAACAACTCCACTCAAGGTCCATGGGGAGGAAACAACTCCACTCAAGGTCCATGGGGAGGAAACAACTCGACTCAAGGTCCTTGGGGACGAAACTCCACCCAGGGTCCGTGGTGGACCAACTCGACCCAGGCACCCGGCTTGAACTCCACGGAAGCTCCGTGGTGGACCAACACAACTGCCAGCTGGAACAGCACCACTCTTCGCCCCAATGGCAACAGCACTCAAGGACCGTGGTTGGGAAACTCTACCCAGGGACCCTGGAACACCACTGAAGCTCCCTGGTGGAACAACAACAGCACTGCCGTCTGGAACACCACCACCGTCGACGACACCACTACCACCGAGGGGAACTGGTTCGATCACCTTCTGAACGAGATCGGAAACCTCTTCTAGACCCGTAAAGCCACGAGAAGCTCATCCCAACTCATGGGCGGGATGGACAATAGACTAAGCTCTGCGCCAGAAAATAAATAAACTTATCAGCATTGAAAAGCTTTTCTGATTATGCTCGACTGGCGACTGGCGGGCCAATCAATGCGGGCCGGTTGATAAGTTGATAAGCCATCTAATCCAATGGGAGGAAGGAGCGCCGCAAATTAGACGGAGACCACAGCCACCCACTGGGGCAGGGACTGATTAAGATTTATTAGCCAGCTGCGGAGACCACGTGTCGCAGACGGCTGGGTGGGTGGAAAATGATGGATTTCAGTGAGACGTCAGCAAAATATTGCCGATACTCCATGGACATGGCCTTGAGCCCTCGAAGTGGGCGGTTTTCAGGGGGCTCTTCGGTTTTGGCCCCTCAAAAAACCCGCATACATAACGAGCTCCGAAGCTCCATAATTAGTTAGGATCTAGCGACGGGGCTGCGGTAATGAGCTAGCTGGCTGCCTCTCTGTTGGACTGCCAGCTAAACCAATAAAATAATCATGGATTAAATAAGCGTTATTGGTGAGCAGACATCACAAGGGGCACTCCTCGAAGGGACTCGAGCCGCCGGCCAAAGGTTGAATAATTGCAGGGGGCTGACATTTGCATAACCTCCTGTCTGCCAACGGACCGTAGTGCCAGGATGGTGCCAAGGTGCTGCCCGGCGGGTTCTGTGGCTCGGCCACACAAAGGGAAGCTGACCTAAACAATGGAAGTATGCGCAAAACTTTTAACCTCAGCGCCAGTAGATAAATCAACCTGGATCATCACCCACAGCATTCGTTGTCAGCACACACCTTCATTGTGTGTCCTGCGAAGGGAAAATCCCCGCCAGACACAACAGCACTGAGCGAAAATCATCCTGTTCAAGTCTATAGAATTCCATCTAAATTATTAGCTCTTAAAGCACCACCCACACAAAATGTTAAGGTTAAGAATTATTGTCTTTTTATTTGGTTTATTTGGTATAGTGATTAAATAAAAAATTAGAGAAAATTATATATTTTTTCGTGACAAAATCAAGATTAGGTATTTGTTTGTTTTTTATAGCTTGTTCATTCTTGTTCTGTGATTTAATTCTCGTTTAAATAGCCCTATTTTTTTACAGTGTAGCTCTACACAATTGCATTGGTTCGCAGGACCTGCCAGTAACATTTACGCCGCTGGGAGTGTGTGTGCTCAAACATTTTCACCCACTGACCAGGGCATTGCAGCTATAAATTGCAGCAGGACCTTTGCGCGTGTGTGTGTGTGTATGTGTGAGTGTGTTTGCCCTGGTGTGTGGGTCAATATTTTTTCATGTTAATTCAACTTGCATGGGTGCGGCACACGGGGCGTATGTGTGATGGTGATGAGGCGAGGCGAGTCCTGGACTCCTGGAATGTAAATCAAGGCGGGCGCACATTTCGAATCCGAATCTGACTCCAGCCCTCCATTTCGCTTTAACTTTTCGCCCCGGACCGAGAAAAGTTTTAATGGAAATGCTCGAAATTAAGTGATCAATTAACATTAATTGCCGAATGCAGGGCGAAACTTCATAAAAATGTCGGCCCTAGGTGATTAGATTAAAGACAAAGGATTGACCCTTTGGAAATCAAAAGTTTCCACGGCCAGCGCCCAAAACATAACACTAACACTAAACCCAGCGATGAGCGTTACGATGTTCTCTGCTAAATTGCCAATTAAGAATTTTAACGATACTGCCCGAGAAGACCGAGAAGATGGCAAACTTGAAATTAGTAAGTCATTAAAGTGCGACCCGTCCAGGCAAAAAAGAGCATCCTGTCGCGGACTCCTTAAAGGACAAGAAAAGGGGCGAAAAAGGTGAGAGAGGGGCGTGGCCCTTGTGGGAGACACAGCAGCTGACAGGCTGACGTTTGGGTAACTAATAGGCCTTATTTGCATGTTAATTGCTCTTGACTAAGTCAACACCAACAGGAGCATCAGCAGCAGCCGCATCAGCGAGGGTAAACGATGGCATAAAAGTATTATAATAACAGTAGAACAATTTCCCGAGCAACAAGAATAATGAGCAGGGAAAAAGCTGAGGACCCAGGCCGAGGAGTTGAAAACAAACCCACGTTTTGCATTAATTTTCGCGCAGCAGTGTCGCTGAAAAGTAGGCAACACTCATCTAATGAACCCATTAAATTTACCAGCCACATGAAATTATGCTGCCATTTTTGGAACCACACCACACAACCACATTGTAACCCGACATCGACGTCTCTCTGTGCCGAATAAATCGCTGGCGTCACATTCCCTGATTTTGGCCATAATTGTTTGTACTTCGTTTTTCAGCTCACATGCTGAGCAGCACTCGTATTTCACAGTCAGTCCGCAAACTATTTGCCTAATGACAACACATAAAGCAGCGCGCCACAGTTTCCACAAACGCAAATAAATAAATACTTTTTCTTTTGCCGCTTGCGTTTGCCATTTATTTTAATTTCATTTTTAGAATCTGCATATGCATGTGTTTTGCGGTTCTTTCGGGAGGGGCGGGGTAGTGCACAAAATGGAGGGAAAGCGGATATAACAATTTCTCTAACTAACGCCATCAGCAGATAAACTAACAACTGAAACTTTGGCGAATATGCGAAATTATGCAAAACTTCTGGCCAAGCTTAGCATCGCTGTATATTTTGCCTAGCCCGAAAATAAATATACTCTGGAAAAGTATATTGAACTATAAAACATTTTATATATATATTTATAATTTTTAATATAACTACAAATCAGTAATGAGAAAAATATATTGTTGTTGTTACACTAGATTGTTATCAGTATATGTTGTTTATTAAAATATCAAAAATAATATTTATTTGCGATCCAAAACAAAACGAATCTGGCATTTTATTCAGAAGTAAAATGAAATAATATTTTTTCTGTTTATAAAATATATTACCGAATGACAATCAATTGTTATGAATTTATTTTTTTGTTTCGGAAATACCCTCCTTTAAAATAAAGTATGCCCATACAGTGAAAAATTGGTTTAGCTGGAAAAGCTCATTTGAACCGTGGAAATTCACCAGTAAGCCTGAATAATTTATAAATTATTCTTTTTATCCACCAACTAATGTTCTCGAATTTAATTACACATTATGATAACGACGAGTCCCTTAATCTAATTATATTATTTTGACAACTGAATGAAAACGCATGCATTCACTGAAAATCAGACGCGAAAAAAACAAAACAAATTAATTGAGCTAAAACTGCTAACCATTTTGTTAAATCGATCAAAGTTAATTGAAGTCAGTTGGCGGCCCATTTGCATGTCATACATATTTAACAAACAGAAAAACACTCGGCATAACTGAGTGCAACAGCAGTCGAAATTAGCATAATTTCAACACGCAACATGCAGTATGCGGCTCTAATCAAAGAATTACCCTTCGTGTTCCTCAGCAATTTGCGTATAGTTATGAAAATGTACGATTAACTGCGAACAGAGACAGACTCGAAAATGAAGCACATAATTCGAGCCTCAATTTGTGGCACACGCAAGAATAAATTAAACAATTGCATGGCCCCGAAGATGGAACGTGTAATCCCACTGTATCGGCTTCAACACATCATATAAATAAACCATTTATTCTCAATGAAAAGCAGAACCCTTTGCCACGTGCCGCAGAAAAGGAAAAAAGGCGAGAGAGAACCGAAATCACATGCAATAAAAAGTGTAATTTGTATAGTAAATATGTAAGCGAGGTGTGAAAGCCATAAAATCAAGCGGGGATGCCACGTGCAAAACGTGCAAGTAGGGAAATGTACCCCTCCTCGCAGGGAGTTACATACTTAGCGGAAGCTCAGTGTGCTAACTATGAAATAGTCATAGTCAAGTTTATCCTTATCTTTTACCGCAGGCCATGCCCATAAATCCGCAAGTGCGCCCATTAACGCTCGAGTTTGGCCGAAGTCCTTAAAGCATAAAAGCCGCGTCCATAAATTTGCCTGCCTAATACAATGTCGCCTCGGCCAGCGAGCATAATGGCCTAAGTAAGCGGTTAACACTTGCGGAATGAGGGAAAATTCCTGGGCAAAAGCCAGGGGAAACCCAGACAATGGCTTTTCTCGGTCTCAGCCGCAACTGCGGAAGACTCCATTAAATTGTCAATTGTAAAGAGGCAGCCGTGAAATGAAATTGAAACGAAAAAAATATATACTTATATATATATAGTGGGGATATATCTGCATATCGGGCTGCTTCGTAATTGAACTCTACAATTGTTGAATTTACTGCAATTTTATGGGCAACTGTGGACGCAAATTGTGCGCTCGCTGATTGAAATAAATTGAAGCTTAATGCCCGCGAATATTGAAAAAAGTTTTCTCGATTTAATGGCCCTCTGATTAAATTACGTATACGCCGTGCACGCCGTGCACGCCGTGCACGCCGCATTTATCATAAAACCAGGTTTGGGCTCGAGTTCCCAGCCATAATTACAGGGATATGGCCAGCAGGCTCCACATTCAATCAGTTGGCAAAACTGCACACCTAAACAATTGAACAGTTGAACAATTGAGCAGTGGAGCCATTGAATTGCCGAAACAACTGCATGTAAACAATTGTGCACATAAATTGGCGTGTTATGTTTAGTTTTTCGGGGTAATCGCTTTTCGGTAATGCTTTGTTTTCCTCGATTTTCCCAATTTATTCGCGTGTATTCTGTGGCATGCCACGCGAGACTGGCTAGTTGAGAGCTGCCATGTGCATGCAGCTGAATGCATTCCCCGGGAAACGGAGTTGTTCGCATCCGAAGCCCTCCGGTTATTTTTTGGGCTGGTTCAGCGGAAGCCGTAATGGTCACATAATGAAACAAATGCCACACAAGAGGTCATTATGCGAGGCACGAGTGAATTATGTCACATTGCTCCGGCCCGATAATCGTTAATTCCCTAATAAAAGAGGCGCTTTATTGTAAGCATATCTCAAATTTGGGAAGGGGATTCCTTTTTTCGATGTAAACTGGCCCATAAAAGTTACTGGGACTAGATTTTGTTGGTTTAATTGTTGAACTTTAACATTTGCACATTTTCGATGTGTTTTTTTAATT